TGGACCTTATATACCATATCTCAGGCTTACATAATATTATTTTGGCTAAAAACTTAATTGGGTCCTTTTTAAAAATCGTCTGAAGGAGATTTATGCCGGAAATAACAATTAAAATATATTTTAAAGTTATTTTTATCCACGATGCAATAAAATGTTTGAATTTTTTATGTCTATATGCTATATCTGAAAAAGTTAAAAATCAAATTATATTCGACAATTATTCGATTGTATGAATAGGAATACGTATATTAAAAATATACGATTGAAAATTTACTAATCGAATGCGAATATTTTATTATTTGATTCGATTCAATATTCTGGATAGAATAAACTCACAAAATTCTAAATTTTTTTAATGTTAATATAGGCACTCTGGCACATTTTTTCCAAAAAGTAAATACGATTTTTTTAAAAGTTCGTTCAGAAGGTAATTAAAATATTTTTACAGCACAAACATTTTTCTAATGGCAAAGGGGGGGAGGTGGCAGATATTCTATTGGCCCAGATAATAGTGGTTTACATTTGCGGAGGGTGATATGCCTAATGTATTACTTAGGCGTATCCGAGATTTTCAGAAATAATCGACTTTTAAATTTTATTAAGATAATTTTAGGGCCTTTGTGATTTATAATATTTATTTAGAGGGGGAGGGGCGGGGAAAGTGTTGGCAAAATTCACGCCAATAATTGGATATATGAGTTGAGGATAAATGTTGCTAATTACTTCGTTAATGATTTTGTGTGTATGGCGGGGTCAAATTGATTATTAAGATAGTATGTACCTTTTAATGCTGTGCAACAGCTCAATTTAAGCAAATTTTTAAAAATGATCGAATCAATATTTTATCCAAAAAAAATACCTCAAGCTTGAAGATTTTGGGCATAGATGGAGCAAGGTTTGGACATCTATTAACCAAATCTAGAGGTTAGGTAATATTTTCCTGGTTAAAATATTGAACTAACCGTTTTTAAGAATCACTCCAATTGAGTTTTTTAACAACACTTATGTCTTTGTTGTCTAAGGGTTTCTGCAAAGAAAAGAAATAGTTGGATGTGGAGAATAAAATCACTTCCGATTTAATGTTCTTAAGCTAATCTAAAGTATATCTAAACTAGAGTTATATAAACATCTTTCTAATTTTATATTTGATTTAATACATTTTCGGTTATGTTCTATTTTATAACATTTAGTTTTAAATGATTTTATCAGTGTCGTAAAATTAACCATCTCAAATTTTAGACCGGATTCGATTCGGGTTCGATTTAAGGAAAAGTTTAAAAGGGGTTCGGGATTTTTTTTTTTGAAATCAGGGTTCAGGTGGTTCGGGAATATATGAATAAAATAAATAAAAAAAATTTTAAATTAAATTAAAGCCTTTACATGAACCTAGAATTTTTTTTTACTTTACCTAAAATAGTATACGAGTAAAAATATAGAAAATATGTTGGGGTTTATTTTTTATGTTTATATAAAATTAAGCCCTGATAAAAGGATTACTTTATTTTTTGAAATTCAGAGTTCACAATAATTGATAAAGAACGACCATTTAAAGTAATAAGTCACATGATAGAACTCAAAAATCACTAGGTGTCATATTTAGATTTATGTCCACACTTTTTTTTGGTAAGAAACTTTGAAATATCTAATTTGGACCTATTTAATTTCTTTCAATATAATCTAAATAAAATATTAATTAAATATGTGTCAAACAATTAACAAATTTCAAAATGGCCATATATATATGCTAAATACTGATAAATTTCATTCAAATAAATAATTAATATTTGTATTTCCGAATATAGAATTTTAATGTAAAGTAAAAAGTTTTTAAAAACACGGGTTTGATTTACAGCCCTAAATTTTGCAGCCCCGGTTTTAATTGTTTCGGCTAAGTTTAGCCCATGTATGGAGATAAATTCTCCTCTCCCATTAATGCAATGCTGTATATAATTTCAATATTGATAATCTATAAAATTTTAAATTTTGAAGTATGATACTTGGTTTTGATTCATTATTTAATTCTTCCCGTAGTTAGGATTCTACTAACCAATGTTTTCGGTAGATTTTTTTAGTGAGAATTTGCTTTACTTACTAAAAATGACTCGCCCGCCTTCATTAAAAACAAATCATTAAATCCTTTATACAAGTTTGAGTACTCTTTTGAATTTTTTTTTCAAATAATTTTAACAGGGTGTTAAATTATGACTATAACTGAAGTTAGGGACTTGCAAGTCAATATAAAAAAGTTTTTGGCCATGTAATCGTTAAAATCCTATAAATATTATTAAATTTCTATTGAGCGCGCCAGGCATTTCTACTTTTTGCAGGCCCGACCGAGCCCGTTAACTCTTTTTGCCTAGCCTGGCCCAAATAAAATAATTCTATACGTTACTTGACCAAAGATATCTAACATAGTGTTGTAAATCCTTCATTCAAATTGAACAGGCTTCTTAAATAAAATTTCTCCCTTTAAACGAATTTTGAACATGGTCCTTATTAACATTGTTTTGACAAATGCATTCTTTGTTTTTACATTCATTCAATTTTAAAAAAAATTTAAACTAAACTAATTTTTTTTATGGATGTAAGTTAATTTGGCATTTTATTTACATTAAATATATTATTTTAAAATATAATATTTGTCAAATTGTGAATAAATGGATTTACGAAATTAAATGGGTTCTTTTTTTTTGTAAATTAACTTTAAAAGGACACAGTGCTTCAATTTTTGCTAATGAACGAGAGGCTGAATTCTTTTTTTTTGAAATGTTTCACCATAAATATTACTTATTATATTTAACTAATCACATTTTAAAAATAACAAAGTTTTCTTTTTTTCATGACTTTCTTTTTAAGCTTAGATAAATTGGGAGTTTTTGAAGGGTCCGCCAAATTCATATCCGCTCTGAACCGCCAAAAGTCTCCTTATGGCAGTGCGTTTACTCAAATAACATTTTTTTATTATAAAAATTAGCTAATCATTTTATAATTTTTCATGATAGTTATATATATGATATGAATCGATTTAAAAAAATAATATACAATATAAATCATATAAAACTAATATAGACAGACTCTACTCTAGTAAAAAAAATATATATGAAATCTCTAATTGACCTATATTTATTTCTCTAATTGCAAAAATTAGAATATTAGGTCATTAAAAAGCTTATTAAAAAATAAGTTTCTTGTATAATGTAATGTAATACGCTACATGAATATTTAATAAATAAAAATTGGATATTGTATCGTCGGATATAATTTTTTAAAAATAATTTTGAATATACAAGTTCATTGGATTTATACAAAATTTCAAGGTGATAGAGATCCATCTAGATTCCCTTAGGCAAATTCCCGGATGACTAAAATATAAAATAATTCGATTATAAAATGAATACTGACTAGACATCTTGACTAAAATATAACATCTAAAATTTAATGGCGCAATTACGTAATGCCTTCTTCCCCTCCATATAAGAAAGCCCCTTAGATAATGGGTTTTTTAAAATTGCATTTCATATTTTGGGAATAATTAATTATATCATTATATGTCGTAACGGGATATAAAATCTCTCAGAATTCCCAATCCTAGTGCTTTTATCTGAATCTGTTAAAAAACTCATGAGGATTTGTAATGTTTATAAACGGGGGGTTTTAGACCGCTCAGTCGTTAGCAGGGTTGGCAAATTTTCAAAAAAAAGTAAATATTTTAATATATACAAATACGTTTGAAGAAAAGTATTATTAATACAAATATGTTTGAAAAAAAAAGTATAATAAATATAAATATAATCCCTACAAAATGTTTAAAAGAGTATTTAAATAGAAATATTTTGACAAATATTTTAAGATTTTTATAGTCCCAATAAATTTTTTATTTAAGGTTATTTATTAAATTCTGAATTATATAAATAAAATAATAATATAGAATTTGAAGTTATTTTTATTTTATAATTATTAACAATAATATATTATTTAATATAATAATCAAACATATGAAACAATTCCAAATAATTCATTGTGCTTTTACTTTGTTATTAATTTACATTTTGGAAATATTTTGCAGGACCTTCAGAGTCTCTTCCAGATACTCTGCTAAAAATATTTTATAAAATCATATTATCTCAACTTGGTAAAAATGGAATCTTATATCTTCTAGTTTTTTATCATTTTCTTCAAAATATTCAGTTCTATTTTCAGCATAAATGTTGCTTATTTTATTATAATAGGGAAGTCAGATAAGATCTTGATTCTTATCCTTAACTCGGATCACAAAATTAATTCTTAAAAAAATAAATTGTGGATTTTACATTTATAATATAATATAAAAAACTAAAAGTATATAAACATACTTTTTAATATTTAAAATACAAACACTAAAAATATTGTCTAATTATTCAAATAAAATAGTAAATATGAATATAAAAAAGTATTTGTATTTAATATTCTAAATACAAGTATGAGCAATCATAATTTTTTTATAATCATAAAATTATAGATTTTTGATAAAAAAAAATAAATAACCTTTAAGGGAATGCGTCCTAGCTAATCTTTTTTTAAAAGAAATTATAAAATAGTTGTCTGAATGGTTAAGACTCAGCACTGTAATACTAGGAAAAACGTCTAAGGTTCGTAAGAACCCCATGCTCATTATAACCCTGATTTCTCTTACACTATTTTTATTTTTAAAGCTTAGGTCTGTAGTGATTATATTTTGATAAGCAGAAAATAGACTTATTTACTTTTTCATATCTTTTAAGATCGATGCCAATTATTTTGAGCTTATAATTTATTAACATTAATGATTGGTGCTAATGTTAAAAAAATACAAATTAAAAAACAAATGTTTTTGCTAATAAAAAAAAATCATTATAGGTCTCTGACTAAAATTTGAAATAGTTTTCAAACAAGTTTGTTTCTATGTCGAATTTATATTCACATATATTTTGATTATTTAAATTAAATAAAATACTAAATTTTAAATATTTAATGAATTTAAGATCAATATATGCTACCGAATCGCATGGAGAAGAACTTACAGTTTGGCTACTTTTTGCAACGAAACTACCATATCTAATAAAAGACTAATTGGTGCACACGGAAATTTAACGTGCGTTCATGGTTGTACAGGAATCGTGGGACCATTATACTTTGAATGCACAGATTATAGCAAGACTAACGACTGGACATCGGGAACATATTGCTACCCTTATCGTTTTTCGTCTCAAACAACAAATTTTGCGATAGCGTAAATATTCATAATTGCTACATCAATCGAATGTTGTTAAACGGCCCAATTTGGGTTAATTTAAAAAATGGCGAGATTACGGCTTTAGCCAATATAATATTATGTAAGCCTGGATCATAGTGGTAGAAAAGCTTAAAACTCTATATCCAGAGGCTCATATTATTTTGGCTAAAATATCAATCGGGCTGAATTTAATAATCAATCCAACTCTATATCAATCATCATAGCATAAAAATAGAATCCTTTGATAATTCAAATTCTTAAAATTAATCAAGAAAAGGTGCACATATTAACACAGCCTAATTTGCTTTATTTAAACCAAAAAAACAAATTGATACGACTATTAAATAATAATAAGTATTATTTAAAATAAAACAGGTTTAGATCGTGTTGTTGGATACCCTTGCTAGCAGGGAGCGGAAATTGGAGCATGCTGATGACTGGAGATTTGCGACCACGTAGAGACACCGGAACAAGAAATCATGCACCAACCTCAGGGGTACCGCCAATAGTTAGGTTTCAAATGGGGTGCAATTCTACATACACAATACCAGGTTCAAATTTATAAAAAAATATATTGAACTAAACTAGTAATAACTTGGTCATATTCATGACTAAACTTTTGGATATATTTGTCACATTTTGTTCCTTACTTGGATATAAACTGTGCTTGTTTGTTAGATTTAGGTTTATCATTAACCGCTATAACAAAAATTTCATCAACTTTATTTAATTTTTATATCCCAATTGAACTGATATCCTTATTGTTTTGACAATAAATCCGTCGTCAATTCTATATTTATTTAATAAAATTTCAGAGGGATAAATTATCAGTTTTTGCAAATTTCATCACATTCTGTTCACAGGGTCCAAAGTTATGCACATTCAAATTTGGAAAAATAAAATTCTAATTTTCCAACATAAAAAGATAAAATTTTTTTTTTATAAACTGCATACTTTACTTACTAAAAATTATGACTTCATCATAATAATATTATTTTCATTTAAGCAGACGATGATAAAATAAATGGGTTTCAGTAAAGATGACTTGAGTTGTTTAAAATAAAATAAAAACATTAGGGTCGAAAAGTTTTTGAAGTCTATCGCAGCCTTGAATAGATTAATAGAAAAAATTGATGTTCCTGGATAAGCAGAAAAACGGTATGATGATGGTAGAGGAAGCATAGCTAATACTATGGAAAATGATAATTTTGTTGAAACGCTCTTATTGAGCCAAGAAGACCGACCTAGTACCATAGAACAATTCGTTAAGTATCCCGATAAATTAATATTTCAAGTTCAATGAATCGGATTATCCATAAAAGATTGTCCGTCTGGTATGTTCCAAACAACTTCTACAAAGATACCCTTAAAGTTAGCTCATTTTATTTAGTTCACGGCTGAAAAGCTGTGTACGGCTACCGGTAAATCTGCAAAATGATAGGATGTTAGTTGCAGTTTAAATGGGAAAAAGCAGGTTGCAGCTTATCGATTGCTTCCTACTCGTTCAAATTCCTCTAAATCCGTCATGGTTTTAACTGTGGGTATTAAGTATTTGCTGCACAGAGCTCATCTTTATCGATCCAAGGGTCAAAATTAATGGTTCCTACTATCAACGTTTTATTTGGTGAGCACTATAGTTGGGTAATGGCTAAATGTCGGCTAATTCACCTTAATCTACAGACGCGTGCCGGATAAAATACGTTAAAATTAAAGCGTTTTAATGTATTTTAGTTTCTTTCAAATTTGAGCTGCTGTATTTTTAAGAAAAACCCCGAGGCCAAAATGATTTGGATAAAAATTTAGTTGAGTCAATTTTTTAGCCAGCTAAAAATATAACAATTACCCAACTTTACCCATTGCTTGCTAAAAGAATTGTTGGGCAGTAATTTTTCATATTCCAGCAGGACCTGGATAACTGAGGATCTGATTTCAAGAGAAACTCCAGATTTTATTCAACAAACTTTTGTCTTTCCCTCAATAGCCATAATTTTAATCCGGTCGACAACAAGATATGAAATGTTTTTCAAGATGTTTATCGGAATGGAATCTTGATCAAGCAATTGTTGATTATGCAATGAATGAATGATGAGATCGCCTTAGAGATGTATTTTAGCGTCGGACATTTTGAAAAACCTTTAAAGAACAACATTTGACAAATTGTTTTAAATGTTCACATTTTTATGTTTTGTTCGAATTGTAAGGTTTAATAAAAAAAGAAAAAAGAAATTTTACATGTTGGGAAGTTAGAATTTTGTTTTTCCAACTTTGAATGTGCATAACTTTGGAACATTTTATAGAATTTAATAAAATTTACAGAAAACATTGATAATGTATCCTTCGCTCAATTTATATAATTTTATTGAAATATTTATGGAATTGACAAATATATTGCAAAACTTAGGAGATAGTATATACGCCAATCAATTTTTTAAAAAAACATAATTTTATAAAATCGTTTTTAAGGTAAACAGTTAGGCGGGAAACAATTTATATAAAAATGTACAAGTATTAGCAAATCTATATTATAATATTATTTTAGAATTATCATTAAATCACATTTATAAACTTTTAAAATATATTGGCTAAAACGGATAGAACATTTTCTAAAAGTCAAAATTTTATCTATTTCTTTCTTTTCTTATAACATTGAATAAGGGTCGTTTCTTTACTTTTGTCAGGTGGAGGATTTTTTTTAAATTTAAATCAACAGTAACTTTTATTTGGTGGGGTATTAAATTTATACTATATACCCACATATCTCAAAACTACATATAATATAGCAACAAAGTAATATACAATTAAGGATTGATAATTAAATTTTATGAGGTTGTTAAAAATTTTAAAAATTTTATTTGTCCAGTTAAAAAATAATACCTTTTATCTAACCTATTCTGCATAAATTATAAATTAAAAAAGTCTTTTTTTCCATATTTGCAAACAGTTTTCGATGATGATAACGATCGTATAAAATGTCGTTTCGCAACAAATGCTAATGAATGTGGCGGAGTTTGTAATTCCTTCTATAACACACGAATAAATGAAGTATAAAATATCAATAAATTTAAGCAATAAAAAAAATGTCTTATTTTAAAAAAAAATGATAATAGAAAACATGTACAATTTATTACGAGCCCACAAGTCATACCGAGCACGAGGGATTTTACCCAGTAACAATTGTAATAGAAGATTTTCCTTTGACTGGTGGAAGAGAACCGTTGAGTCAAGTGCCTCTTCAATTTTTAGCCTACATATTCTATTCTGATCTACCGTGTTATGCGTCTCCATATTTTGTAGACACTTTTACCCCGCTGGAAAACACTTGTATATCAACACCACTTAACCTTACTTACCATGGACAAATCGTTATCGATGCTAGAGATAGAGGATTGCGGTAATTAAATTATTTCGTTTACATTTAATTCGGTAATTCTATATTATTAAAATTTTTAGCATTAGAGACATTGACACCGTCTCCCCACCGGGACTCATTAAAAGACCACTAAGACACAGTTTAGGATCAACATGGGTGATGAATTACGAATGGCTTCCCAGTTTGAGACAAAAGGGGAAGAATATATTTTGTTTCACTGCCATTAATAATGCAGGGTAAATTGGTGTATATTATTTATATTTTATAAATTCGTTTTAAAAAAATAAATATATATATATTGTATATATATACAATATATATACAATATATATACAATATATATACAATATATATACAATATATATACAATATATATACAATATATATACAATATATATACAATATATATACAATATATATACAATATATATACAATATATATACAATATATATACAATATATATACAATATATATACAATATATATACAATATATATACAATATATATACAATATATATACAATATATATACAATATATATACAATATATATACAATATATATACAATATATATACAATATATATACAATATATATACAATATATATACAATATATATACAATATATATACAATATATATACAATATATATACAATATATATACAATATATATACAATATATATACAATATATATACAATATATATACAATATATATACAATATATATACATATATATACAATATATACAGCCAAAGAAGTGAACAAAGATGTATAATCTTTTACGCGGGAGAAAATTGTCCTAACGATTTTTTGCGTAATGGTAACAATGTAGCTCAGATAGAGGGAGCTCTTAGCGGTAAATAAATTTATGTTGCATATAATTTTATATTCTTATGTTGCATATAATTTTATATTTGGCTATCTCTATTAATCTAAAAATTATGTCATGATTATAATTCTAGAGGCCTGCAAAGATACCCATGTACATGGCTGGCCCGGATTAGCTTTAAAAAAAAATACTTTAGGACCTATAAAAATATATTTATTTGGCTCAGTTGGGGTTTTAAAACATTAAATTTGGCTCAGGTCTTAATAAATATCTACAATAAATATTTTAATTTTATGGAAAAAAATATATAATTAGTTACTTGCCTAAATGACGGAATTGAGGCATTTGCTAATGTGGACCCCGATTGGATCGGAGCGATGTATATTAAAAATGATTATAAATCACAAAGATGCCGAGTTTTTGGCATTGAAAATAAGGAAAGGCCTGTACCCTTACGAGCAAAATTTGATCAATGCACATTCACTGAAGACACAGTAAATGATTTGTTCATTTTTTTTTGCAAATCATCTTTTTATTTAGAAATAAGCAATAAAATATTTTGTATTTATAAATTTTAAAGTTATGCATTACATATAAATGTCAAATAACATGTAGGACTTGAATATCTGTGAGCCAAGAAACATTAAAATATTACATAATTATAAATAAATGAAATAATAAAATCAAGCATAATGGTGTTTACAGCGCAATAGTGGTAATTCAACCAAATATGAAGATAGTCACAGATATGGCAAGAGCTTATCAAGTAAAATGCATATATGGCAAAGATTTTGATGATAGTCGAACTGTGACAGCTGAACTTGACGTTGAGTAAATAAACTTAATTTGCATTTATATTATTTGGGGTTGACTTAAATACATATCAAGATCTTACTTATAATTGTTCCAATAATAATTGAAGATGCGGAAATTTTTCTTTAACATCCTTTAGCATGATACAAACGACTACAATGATAACTGTAGGCGGGGAAGAAGCCCACGTTTCAATGATTATATTGGACGAATATGACAACATAATCAGAACTGCTCATATAGGACAATCTCTCAAATTAAGAATCATCATTAATCCGAAAGGTTACTACTTTTATTAATAACTTATATTATAAGAATTTTAATATAGCTGTCTATGGTATATTTGCTTACAATTGTCTGACTCAGAGTAACGTGGAGGATTGGGTACACGAAATTATTGATAGTGCTGGGTATTAACTAATCATCATGTATAAAAAATATTTTTTTATTATAAGTTGTGCAATCGAAGAAAAAATATTTGGAAATTTCAAACTTAATCGCGACACCAAAGCACTCACATCCTTCTTTACGGCCTTTAAATTTCCTCTTTCATCTTACGTTAAATTTCAATGCGAAGTTAAGATTTGTGTGGGATTTTGTGAAGAGGTATACATATATCCACATGATATATATAAACTAAATATATAACTCACATATTTATATTTTTTTCGAATTAAGGTGGAATGCGCAAATTCTCCTTCTTTTGGTAAAAGGAAAAAAAGAAGTTTAAATTCCCCAAAATATATAACTCACAAAAAGGTATCCTTTGTTCTTTCCATGGAATAGTCATCATTCTAAATAATGCATAGATTTAAATCTTTATAATAATGTATACAGGCTGGTGTCGCCTAATTTTGTATAAAATTATTTAATATCTTAACAAAGCAATAATTCCACACCGTTATAAAATCATAGAATATCTAATCGATGAAATGGGTTATTTAAAATAAATTTTAGAAAAAAATACATTTTCTTGTCTAGAGAACATTTATTAATTATATTTACATATCTTAGGATGAATACCAATAAAATATTTATATCATTATGATGATATTTTCATTACATTATATTATATGTTTTATTTACTATTCTGAAATTTATTATGAAACATTTTTCTTTAATTTTAATCAAATTATTTAATTTAGAATATAACAATTTTTTTAATTAAAAACCAAAGATTAGAATACAATTGTTTTTATAATATTTGCTTAATTCATTTCTAACTAAGCTTTATTTATGAATTTCATTATATAATATTTAAGAATATTTCGTAAATCATCGATAATATTTTAAACTAGCCCCTTTAGAAAAGTGAACAATTTTAAATTGAAACCAATTTTTTTTTATTAGTTATTTAAGCTAATGAATTTTATTAAGATATTATACATGCCAATAATAAAATGTAAAATTATAAAGGAGATAAATTATGGGGTTTTAAAATTGGCTGAGCATAGATCCGTGAATGGAAATGTAACTGACAGGGGCGTCGCTAGCCTTTACAATTCAGGGGGCTCAACTAAAAAAATTTTATGGGGGCTTCGCCCCCCATACCCCCCAATTTTCGGCCGGGTTTTATATTAATATATTATACTTTTTTAAAATTTACTAATTCTAAATAATCATGCAAAATAAACTAGCATATAAAAAAAATAAAGTATATCATTGAATACAAGACATTTCTAAAAATAATATTTTTTAATAGAAAATCTATTTATTACAGTATAAAATATTTTCGATTGTTGATATAAAATGATTTTGCGTCTAAAGAATAATAAATGATAAAAAAGGTTAATTAATCCATATATGCCTCAATTGAATAGTTTTTGAAAACTACATAATATAATATAATTCTTAGCAACTTACATTGACAAAAGGTCATGAAACTAATATAACTCCCTATTACCATTTTAGACAATGTTTTATAGAATGGACTAATAAGAAAAAATTTATAGACCATACCAAATCTACAATTCTTGAAGAAGAGAATATAAACGACCAATCCAAATCATAAAACTATATGATGTATGAGCTTCCTCTTAGATGACATGATGGAATCTAGATAAGTAATCGAGAAAATTATTGTATGATATTAAATTTCTAAAAGATTATCTACCATTTTCAATGTTATATAAACGACTACACAGTTGACCTATTGCTTACTGAAGTGTTTTATTAGATAAGTAAAATAGGTAAAGTAAGTAAAAATATTTAATACAAAATATCACGTATATATATATAATGAATTCAATCCTTCAGGTTATGTAATTTACAAACGAAACGTTAATATTATATTCAATTTAAATTCAATTTACAATTACATTTATATTACAGTTCTTCCCACTATAAATTGAATTCATCGTGATAACGTAGTGGGGGTTTCAACTATTTTTTCAAGAGTTGTATTCTCATGTTCTGCCTTTTCCACTTCTTCGGTCAACGTAACGGGTATTTCCTTCTCTTGTGTATGTGCATCCCTCAATTGACCTGCATGCTTGTTTTTAACGATCCCCTCTGATTCCACATCGTACAATATTGCGCTTTTTCGTTGTAACACTTTCCCTTCATGCCACCCTGCTGTCCTTTCGTTTGCTATCCAAACTTTTTGCTGCTCTTTAAACTCCCGAGGTTCAACACTTCTATCTTTGTAGTACTTTTGTTTCCATAGAGCGTTTTCCTTCCTTTCTCTCGTTGATAATTTCCACTGATCTAATGTCGTCCTAAGCGACCTTCCAAACATCCTCTCGGCAGGAGATTTACCAGTAGTTGCATTGGGAGTATTACGGTGAGTAATTAAAACATTCGCTAAATTTAACTGGTCCGGAGTCCCACACCTCCTTCCAGCATAGAAACGCGTCTTATCCGTATATATCGTTCAGCCAAACCATTCGATTTGGGGCTATAAGGGGCCGATCTAAAATGTTTTATATTGTTTTTAAAAAGAAACGTTTTGAATTCAGATCCAGTAAACTGAGTATCGTTATCTGAGACAATGTAGCGAGGTAACCCAAATCTAGCGAAATAATTACGCAGATTATTTATTACACTCGCCGAATTAATATGTGTTAAAATTGCAACTTCAACCCATTTGGTAAAAGCGTCTACGCAAATTAACCAATATTTTCCAGTTACGGGGCCTGTCAAATCAATGTGTAATCGTTCTCAAGGTCGGGTAGGAATGTTCCAATTGTATAATGGCACTTCTTTAGCTCCCGGCCTTCCTTCTTGACAACTCTTACAACATTTAACAAAGTATTCAACATCAGTATCGAGATTTGTCCAAAAAACGTAATATCTACACAATGATTTCATCCCTACTATCCCAGGATGTCCTCGATGAATCACATATAAAACCTCCTTTTTTAAAATATCTGGAATAATAATTCTATCATTATAAAATAATAATCCTTCTTCGAACGGAATATTATCTTTATCGAAATATATTTTTTTACAATCTTCGAATAATTATTTATATTATCAATATACCAATGATTTTTTATTAATTTAATAATCTCTTTTAGGTTTATATCATTGCTCGTTTCACTTACGACTTTACTGCGAGTGAAAGATAAATCTTCTATTAAATTAATTTTTAATCCTCTGATTTCTTCTTCGAATTTTTTTGTAACATCATTGGTTTTCGCTTTCTCTACCCCCAAACGGGACAGAGCATCGGCACATTTGTTATGATTACCTGGTCTATATATTATCTCATAATCATAATTTAATAGCTTAGTCGCCCACCGTATTAAACGGTTATTTGTTATTTTGTTAAGATCTCTTTTATCACCTAAAATATATTGTAATGGTTTATGATCAGTAATCAAGATAAAATGTCTTCCAAAAATATATTGATGAAGCTTCTCGATAGCGAACATGATCGTCGAAGCCTCCTGATCAATTGTGGCATAATTCTTTTCAGCCGCCGAAAGTGTCCTCGATGCGTAAGCAATCGGTTTCTCCTGGCCAGTAAGAAATCGGTGTGCAATAACAGCTCCTAGACCATCTTCGGAAGCGTCACAAGAAATCACGACAGGGATATCGGCTGAATAAGGGATTATTGTATCTTCTTTTGACAATATATTTTTAACTTTAGTAAATATTTCATTTTCTTTAGCTGACCAAAACCAATCAACATTTTTACTCGTTAGTCGGTGTAAAGGCGCACAAATAGAATGCAAATTTTTAATAAATGCCTCATGATAATTCACTATTCCAAGAAATGAACGTAGTTATTTAACATTGGAAGGTGTTTTAAAATTTTTTATAGCGCTAATCTTATCTTCTGTAGGGTGAATTCCGAAACTGTCAATAACATGACCTAAATAAGTGACTGACTTTTCTCCGATTTTAATTTTATCGGTCGTCGTGGTCAGTCCAAATCTTCTTAATACTTCTTCCAAATTAACTATGTGATCGGAATTATTCTTACCTGCAATAATTATGTCGTCTAAAAATACACTAACCATAGGAATTCCCTTTAATAGGTTTTTCATAAAGCGTTGGAATATTATCGGAGCGCTAGTCAAACCAAATGGAATTCTTTGGTATCGGTAATAACCGACATGTGTCGAAATTACTAAAAGGTCCCTACATTCTGGACTAACTCCGAATTGTAAAAATGCATCTCTTAAATCTATTGTTGAAAATATTTTACCACCCGCGATCTTATTTGTTAGGTCGACGAAAGTTGGTAGTAAATCGTTATCAATCGCTAGATATTTGTTGATTGTTAAACGAAAATCTCCGCATATCCGTACGGCACCGGATTTCTTTAAGATATTAACCGTTGGCGTAGCCCAAGTGATTGTAGTTATTGTTGGATCCACCTTCTCGATAATGCCTTAGTCTAAAAGTCTGTCCAACTCAGCTTCAATGGTTCGATGCGACGGAAAAGGAACTCTTCTTGCTGGTAATGCAATCGGTAACGTGTTCGGTTCTATTCGGATGACTGCCTTTTGCAGTTTGATTTCACCTAATTTTTTTTTAAAAACTTGAGGTAATCTTGAACATTCATATTTATTTTATTAATACGAACTTCTTCCGGTAGTTTTATATCAAATTCTCTAATGAAAGGCATCCCAAAAATAAGGGAATTCTCCCCTTTAACTACCCAAATAAGTAAAAATTTCGAAATATTTTTTACTTTGACTTCTACGGTACATTTACCTAGTACTTCGATTTGGATATGATTATATCCCACTAATTTATAAGCCGGTGATAGTTGTGGTCTGCCAATACGATTCCAGGTGACCTCATCAATCACACTACACGCGGCGCCGGTATCAAACTCCATAGCTAGCTGCAACCCATTTATCTTCGCATCGATGGTTGCTTTATTTGAAAATGACAGGCGAGGTGTCCGTGGCAGAATCATTTTATGGCATGGGTTCTACAATCTTTCGCTATGTGGTTTGCCTTACCGCAACTAAAGCATATCTTTCTTTTGAATAGAGTTAGGTTTGATACTAGGTCTATAATTATTATTAGGAATATAATTGTTACTAAAGTGTTTATTATTATTGAATCTATTGAAGTTTGTATAATTATTATTTCTAAAATAATTATTTTTCAAACCCTGTGTTGGCTTATTTTTAATTATTTTATTAACTTCAGTCTGGGTTTCATTTTCCAACGAAGACAGCGCGATCGCTAAACGCACGGTCTCTTCAAAAGTAATATTGCCTTCGATATACTTTGACCGAAGTTCTTTGTCCAACTCAGGTAAGCTTACTCCTAGGATAAATATATCTCTTAAAAGTTCATCAAAAGGCGGTTTAAAATTACAAAGAGAACAGACAGTTTTAACCCTAATTGAAAAGTCAATAATCGTCTCACTGCATCTTTTTAACGTAAAAATTTTTTTCCTATTTACGAAAATGCTCGAACTATCCTTGAACACCAAATTTAAGCTTTTTATTAAAGTATCATAATTTATCATCTCTAAATTTATTGGAAAGTGAAAGTTCTTAATTTTGATAAGATTGTCTGTTCCGATATAGGCTAAAAGCAGGTCTTTTTTTGTATTTAAATCTATATATAAATTAACTCCAAGTTAAATAAGTAGTCCTGAATATTTACTTTTTCTTTGACGAATTCTGGAATATGGAATTTAATAGGAATTACTTCCATTGAGTCTTTAACTTTAATAGGAACTACTTCCATTGTATCTTCAACTTTAATAGGAGCTACTTCCATTAAGTCTTTTACTTTAAATTTAATAAATCAAATAAATCTTCTCTAAAAAAATCGTCGCCAATGAAGTGTTTTATTAAATAAGTAAAATAGGTAAAGTAAGTAAAAGTATTTAATACAAAATATCACGTATATATATATAATGAATTCAATCCTTCAGGTTATGTAATTTACAAACGAAACGTTAATATTATATTCAATTTAAATTCAATTTACAATTACATTTATATTACACTTACCTAAAATGTGCGATCATACGCTCTCAGCAGCTGTAGTTCAATTACATAGCCACACAAATAATAGATGCTGGTTAATTTGCAGTCCTATCCATGACACTCACGATGGTAACCCATCACAATTTATTCTGTTAGATAAATTGATAAAACAAAAATATTAAAACCTTTAGAAGAAATTATGCAAATATATTGAAGCCTTGAGTTATTTACACGGCAAGGATGCCATATTAGAAATAAAACATTTTGTAACTACAAAATAAGAACCAGAGTGATATCATGAAAGCAATTAAGATATTTTATATTATTGTCGCACCATCTCTAGTTGGTATATTATATATTAAAATAATATTAGTTTCTAGTTTGTAATAATATCAAAAATATATTTGTATTAAAGATTTAACTCAAATCTATTTTTCGAAGAAGAAAAATATAGCTTTTCTAAAAACACGTAAAAAAAGAGAAGAAAACATATCTAATTTATTACATCTATTGTGGGATGAATAATAATACGTTTTATTTTAATTATATTTTAAATAAATAGATGGCGTTAAATATTTGTAAGCAAATTGTTATTTATATTTATTATCAAAAGCATTTATTAGTAAAATTTTAAAAATATTAACTGTAATATATTATATAACTCAGATACGTCTGTAAAAGTGGCATTTTACCTAATATTTTATAAAAAGATATATATAATAGAGGATTATAAACTATATGTCTACTTACTTTTTATAAATAAATATCGTGTATTTGGTTAACTGATAATGACATATTAACCAAATAAGAAATCCTTCTCTTATATTTTTCACAATTTCTTAACACCACACTATAGTAACGATGAAGAATTACAATATTGTCAATTTGGCTGAGGTTCAAGTAATTCTAAAATATTATGATTTGTAATTTGTTTTTCTTTAAAAAATAAATTATTTTTACGAATATACGGGCCAAGAAAATTAAAATTTTTTAAACAGTATATTTAATGATTGGATCCTCTTGGCTTTCCGGTCCAGGCTCCGCAATCATCCTCAAAGACTGATTTTTCGCCAATATTTTTTAATATATTAAATTGATTATTAATTACACTTTGTTATTTTTTACCCCATTGGGTATTAAATTCAATACTTTTATAGGATGTAAAAATTAAGACATTATTTCATCAGTTTAGAAATATTTACCAAAATTATTAAAACCATCTTCTGTCATAGAACTTTCTTGTAGCTTTAATGTCTAAAGCTATTTTAGACTGATAAAGTGCTATAGATGTCGAAGGCTGATTGGACAGAGAAAGTGGTATATATAAATTTTCGGCAAAATTTTTAGATATAGCTTCGATTGGATTTTTTAACTCTCCATACACAAAATTAGTAGGAGAAAATACACTAGAGGGAGAAGATGTTCTAGAGAGAGGAAATACTCTAGATGGAGAAGGTGTTCTACAAAGTGGATATACTCTAGATGGAGAAGGTGTTCTAGAACGTTTTTTCATTTTATGTTTATATGAGTAAGTTTACACAAAATGAGTCAAAAAAATAAAACATTTTTAAAATCCTGAAAATCTAAATATTTTTGACTAAACTGATAATTGACACCCTAACTCAAAAAATAATGACGGAAACTTAAATTTTTTTTCATTTTATGTTTATATGAGTAAGTTTACACAAAATGAGTCATAAAAATAAAACATTTTTAAAATCCTAAAAATCTAAATATTTTTGACTAAACTGAGAATTGACATCATAACTCAAAAAATAATGATGGAAACTTAAATTTTTTTTCATTTTATGTTTATATGAGTAAGTTTACACAAAATGAGTCAAAAAAATAAAACATTTTTAAAATCCCAAAAATCTAAATATTTTTGACTAAACTGAGAATTGACATCATAACTCAAAAAATAATGACGGAAATTTAAATTTTTTTTCATTTTATGTTTATATGAGAAAGTTTACACAAAATGAGTCATAAAAATAAAACATTTTTAAAATCCTAAAAATCTAAATATTTTTGACTAAACTGAGAATTCACATCATAACTCAAAAAATAATGATGGAAACTTAAATTTTTTTTCATTTTATGTTTATATGAGTAAGTTTACACAAAATGAGTCAAAAAATAAAACATTTTTAAAATCCCAAAAATCTAAATATTTTTGACTAAACTGAGAATTGACATCATAACTCAAAAAATAATGACGGAAACTTAAATTTTATTACATTTTATGTTTATATGAGTAAGTTTACACAAAATGAGTCAAAAAATAAAACATTTTTAAAATCCCAAAAATCTAAATATTTTTGACTAAACTGAGAATTGACATCATAACTCAAAAAATAATGATGAAAACTTAAATTTTTTTTTCATTTTATGATTATATAGCTTGTACCAAATAAATTAATCCAAAGTAAAGAATTATGCTCCTATTATTCATATTTTTTTTTAATTAAGAACTAAATTTTTAATATATAACGCCATCTAATGGAAATATATTTATGATTTTATAAATTTATTATGGATGTTATATTATCTATGTAACATATCTGTTCTATACATATTATAAATTTATGGACTACAATTTCCTCAATATTCTATTTTATTTATTTAGATAAAATTAATTTGGATAAATTTGATTTACAAAATAAAAACGTTTATTTTATTTTTATAAAATAAAATTGATTGGCTATAAAATAAACATATATTTTGCCTGTCCATTCGCAGTTTACCTGTCAATTCTCAGTTTAGTTACACCGTAAATTAATAAAGGAATTTATCTATGGTATATTCATTTCGCACAATCATAAATGAAGCCCAAAATTTGTATTAAAACTACTAGCAAATTGGTTTATTTATTTTATTTAAAAATATATTTAATTATAATTTTATAGCTGTACAAAAAAGTTCTGAATAAAAAAATTAAACAAAGTAATAAGTTTATTCAAAGTCCAGTTGTAGCAAATGAAAAGGTTATTATCTATTAAGGAACAGTTTTTAAAAAAATTATGTTTTATAAAGTAGGATTCTAAAATCACTTATTTAGAGAGCACCTTTAAAATTGATGACAAATTTGTAAATCATTTATTTTTGTTTTTATACATTTTCATTTTATAGTACAATAAAATCAATAAAAATATTAGAAAATCAAAGTTGAATAAACATGGATATATGAAGAATAAAGGCAAACATTTGGTGTGGGGGTAAATAAAATTAATTAATAAAAATTATTTTTAAGATTTGAGCCCAAACGAAAATCAGAATGTAAAAGTGCCATGTAAACAATTAAAGTTTCTTCATTGATTCTGGGCAAATTAAAAGGAGGGGTGATGAAGGGTAAATCTCCATGATGGCCTGATTTATTTTTTCAAGAAGGCATTAAAAATGCAAATTGGATTTTTTTTAAAAAAAAATAAATGATTATTTTAATTTGTTTAGATTTCAATTTTTTAAAATATATTAAATCATATTCTTTTCTTGTATGTTTATATTATTCATGTAATTCAATGCTCAACAGCTAATATTAACAATAGGGGTTTTTTTTATTTGGCCTAACTCATTCAAAAATTAAAAAACACATCCTATTATTGGTTCTAAAAAATTCAATAGAAAAAGGGCAAGGATGCCATTTTTATTATAGTTTAGTTAAATTGAATTTGTTTTCTATTTCTTTCAATGTCTTAAATATTATAATAATTTTTATTATATTAACATAGTATTTTAGATATTATTATTATTATGATATATGTATGTTCTTTTTATTGTTTTAAAATAAAAATATATAGCATTTTTAATTTGGATATATTTATTCATTACTAAATTTTATAATTTTCTGTTGTTTTTTTTTCAACTAGTAAATCATTTTACGAAATAATACTAAAGATTTTTAAGAAGTTAGATTTAAGTGTTTAATGTATATTATATGTTTTAAAATAGATATTTAAAATAATGACTTTAAAAATATAAATAAAAAAATGTATAAAATATTTTTTTAAAAAATAGCTTTAATCCAAAATCAGACATAAATAATAAGAGTATTTACATATAAAATAATAAATTAAGCTGCTTAAAAAGTGTAATAAAAACAAAAGATTTTTATGAAAGTTTGCATGTTTCCATGGGAAAGATGATTGGTAAGAAAATAAGCATGTTTGTAAATGTTTAAACCAGCAGATGCATTGATCAGAAAATAATTTTGAATTGGGATATGCTCTGAGCAATTAGTATGGGTGGAAATAAAAAATGGAATACATTACAATAGAAAATTTAGGAAAAAAATTATGTAAAATGAGCATTTTTAATAGGGCAGTGGTCATCATGACCAACTGAGTGAAAGGGTTGTATAGGTATAAGAAAAAAATATTGAGAAATTATTTAGGGTTGTCTTTTAATCCATAAAGAGATAAATTGGAAAAAGAAGGCGATAAATTGTTGGATATCATGACTGTTAAGTTTTATGACATCACTCATTAGAGTATGGGGGAGGGAACGAAGGTGGTCATAAGATTTGATGTGTTGGGTAGCTCTGAATTAGGATTAGTAGATATAGCTTTGACCATTGTCAATAGATGGAAGAATCCCTAAAAGTAGTAATATTAAAAAAATAAACGATGTGACACATGTCATAGAATCTACCTTTCTTTTAAAGTAATCGGGGATAGATGAGCCTTAAGGACTGGTGAGGTTAAGAATCCAAAATAAAAAGGCACACATTGAAATACACATGTCATCTCAATGTAAGCCAAAGGTATATCATATTACTATACAATAGTAAACATCGTCTAGGTTAATCAAACTTACAAATTATTATAAAAGATTAAATCCAAAAAAATTATTCTTTAATAATTAAAGTTAACGTAATGAAGTGGTAAGTAAAAAAACATTATCCACAAATAATCCTATCGTTTTGTAGGTTTTTTAAAAATCATTTATGCAAATATTAGCCAATAATAAGATCGAAAACAAGGCGGCATCATTACGTGTCCTTTTTCATAAACTAATCCGATGTCTTAAAATTGGCATAAACCCCTTAGCTATATACAAATATATAAAATAACCGCCTTTGGACAAAATGAAAGTGGTTACAGTTGCTCAGTGCCGAGACTTTTGGCGGCCGAGAGCAAAAAATAATTAGGTGGCGCCTTAAAAAAACAATCAACTAAGTTAATTTTAGAATTTTTCGCAATGAGAATTATTATATATTGCATCTCTCTTTACCGAGTAAACTAGCCGACACGATAGACTAATTGATTTTTGAAATGTTCTAGCATATAGAATGGCGCAGTCTACCATTGGTTTAATGGGAAATTATAATTCTCGATTTGTTGAGGACTCTTTCCTACTAAAAAAGATTCGCAAATTATCAGTTATCCACAATGACCATTCACCAATATCGTCCTGCTTTAGAAATTTGCACATCCCTGCCTCTAATATATTATTAAATACTTTCCAATGATATAACTAATTATTATAATGATTGGTCTGTTATAAATTTATTATCATAGCAATATAAATTTGTTGATAATCAGTAAATTTTAAGAGGAAATAGAATTACTCATCTTACTTTTGAGAATTATAGAGAATTTTCAAATCTATTTTTATAAATATATTATAATGATCGAGGCATTTGATCAAAAGCTATAAAATGTTGCTACAGCTGATTTCAATGTGAGGACGTTTTTTATGAATGATCGTCAATTTATAGTTATATATGTCATTGTTACTTTCACTTTTATTAAAACCGATTCCTCAAATTTAACAATGTGCCCTAGTTCCTCTAAATTTTAATAGACTGGTTCTGGTTTCTAGATTTGCCCTGTTCTATGTTCTGGTTCAAAATTCAGGAAAAACCCTGTATTTATTTTTTATAAAGAGAAATTATATTATAAAAAGGAAAAAAAATTACGCTGACGACAAAAATTTTCTTTCTTTTTAAAAGTAGTTCATATATCAAAAATCTTGTTTTTATTTCTAGCTATTTTTTACAGTTAATTTTGTTTTTCTTCAAAATAAGAAATTCTGGCAAATTAAATTTTATGTTTTTTTAATAGCATAAGATTTCTGATAAAATCTTGATACACTCCATTTTTCTACCAATTGGCTACCCTATCTATAACTTTAATATAGTTTTAATTATTTTTCTTTCAATATTTTTTGAGTAGAAGAGAAATAAATTTAAATATTTAGCAAGAAAGATTTCGGAGGAAGGAATTGCTCCATTCACCCACTTTTAAATACATCTATGGTAGACCTAACATAAGCATAAGTTATATAACCCCCGGTCATTTCATTTATCAAATGAACAATAAATTATTGAATTGTTTTTTTAGGTCTTGCTTAAAAATAAAGCTAAATCTGGAATATGATTTTTAGATAAAATGCCCTCTATGTCCAAGGGGTTTTAAATCATTAGAGAAAATGAAATTAATCTTTTTTTAACTGTAAGGTGTTCATGGGAAATTTTTTTAGAGGCTTATTAGAACTTGAAAATATTTTAAAAGAAATATCTTCAATTTTTTTCTTTTAAAAAAATATTATATTTTACCAAAAATTTTATATATTTTTAGATCTTCCTTATTTTAAAAAATAATTGATCGTTTTCATGAATTTTTTATATATTATAAAATATTTTTAATATCGAATTGAAAGATTTTATCTTGGGTTTCTCACAATTACCCTCAAAATTGGAGATTTAGATTTATATCCATGAAATCATAGGCCATTGAATTGGATGTAACATAGTTACCACATATATGCATAAAATGCAAAGTTGATTCCAAAGGGAGACATAATTTTAATTGTTTTATCGTCAAGGCAGACATGCAGCGATTAATTCAGTTATTAACCGTTCTCTTACGAGGACTTGAGTACCAAACAACCTGGAGCATGCTAATTTATCATAGATGATGGCCTAAGGCAGATAATTTAACTTCTGTACCCTTGGTCTTTGGATAAATCCTTAATTTGGGACATCACACGCGTCTCTTCATTTCCAAAAATGTAAATTCTGACCCGGTTGATATAGCCGAGAAAAAAAAATAATATTCAAAATTAACAAATTATGCTTTATTACCAATCGTTATCTTCTTCCCTTGGATATATGCCAAACAAAACTTTAAAATTTTTTAAATTATAGGCGGTAAAATAAGAGCCCTTACATCAGAACCCATAGAATATTATTTTTTAAAACAAAATATACAAATCACATTTTAAGATAGGGGAGACTGGGGTTACTCAAACCAATTTTTACAAAATTGGGTAGAGTTCCTAGTTTTTTTAGATAATATAAAAAACAATATAAGAATAGATACCTAAAACCATATTCTATAAAGGTGCTTTATAAAAATTTTTGAGAATATAACATTTTTTGAAATTTTATTTGTTTTATAAGTGAAAATTTTTTCCAAGCCCCAATAGCGGGGTTAGGCAAACCACCTCAAGAGGCTTCCTAAGCCATTGGTCTTTTTAGGCCATAATAAATTTAAATGCATTTTTATTTATTAATAATGATATGTCTAGAATAATTTTATTGTTCAAAATATCATAATACTTGTAAATTGAAACTAATTATATATAAAAATGGAAACTTAATTCACATTTGCCATATACCATGTGCTCATCCTTGGCACATTCTGCATTGGTATCTCTTAGCCGTTATGTTTAATATATTCCAGCTTACAACAAATACAAATATCTTGACGAATATATTTTTTTTCCTAATTTCTTTTTCCATCAATTTATTTTCTGTCTAGACTAATTTCATTTTATAGGGAGATGTTGTGAATATCTCGATCCCTCTTTTCACTTTATTTTTTGGGATTGGGATTAGGTGAGGATATTGATAAATTGCTGGATGGACTAGGAATATCATCTAAACGAACATGATGGAGCATCATTAAATATATCTAAGATTCTAATAATATTAATACCAAAGAAACTGAGCTTGATTCTAATATTGGTTTTTGGAAACTTATAGCACCTCAGTTTTTATAGAATGAGTTTTTATTATATTATAGTTTTATTAGAATAAGGTTATATACATTATAAATTAATATAATTATATCTTTAAATAAATATTTTCACTATTAAAATAAATAACAATTGATTTAATTAATTTTATTTAAAAGTATATCCCTCCTTTAGTATACTATATAGAAAAACATATTATATTATAATAATGTGTTATGCCCTTTAATTAATTAGTTATAGAATAACCAATTGATGGATATCAACAACTTAATAAAATTTTTTTTAAAATTATTTTAAATTTTATACCAAACCAAATCCCTTAATTTTTATTCATAATACTATATATTTTTAAATTTCATTAAGATTTAATGTAAAAATAAAAATAAATACAACAATGGACCAGAATAAAAAAATGTACAAGCTTAAAAGGTTTAGAAATTCAAATAACTTAGACCAGCTGTGCGCCAATTTAAGTATAAATCCAAATACTACTAATAGAAATTTTCAAAGAATGGACATGAAGGTGATATTGTTTAAATAATTTTATTGTTATAATACATTATATTAATATCATAATTTTTAAGCTCCCAAAGTTAAACAAAACACAAAATTTAATTAAAAGTTTCCGAAACGCCACAAGAGGCCTGAAAAACAAGTAAAATTTTGTTATATATAATAATTTAATGTTTTAAATAATATTAAACTATTTATAATTATCATGATGACCCTTCATCTGCTAAATATGGAGCCAAAATTTGGGATCAACCTACGTATATGGTTCCATGCAATAAGACTCTTCACGAACCAATAATGTTTGAAC